ACACTGTATTATCTCTGACTCTAGCATCTGCAGTTCTTACTATCTCAGATACCAGGTCTGTGTTTACATCACGTGATGCCCTCCCCTCATGGCGCATGTCCCCTGCTGGCCACGCCCCATATGGATACGGATGGCTGCCGCGGGCCAATAGGCTGGGAAGTCCGGTGGCGGCTCCGACCAATCGGAGACGGGGGCGGGACGAGATTCGGGCACCCTCCACCAACCGCGCATGCGCCTGGCCGCCCGACAAAATGGCGGCCGTCACCTCAGGCCTGGACACGGTGGGCGAGAGAGAGAGAGAGAAAGAGGGCCCCCGAGCAGTTCACGCCGGCTCAGAAAGGCAGGATGGCAGCATCCTAATTGAGGTTCGAATTGCTTACGCGTGGTACTTATGAAGCCTTACCCCCGGTCGACCCTCCAGCCCCGGGCCTCGCCGCGCTGAACCGCCGCGACGGACCTGGCCAGGGTCTCGAGCCAGTAACGGCAACGCGCATGCCCGACGGTGAGTCCTTGCCAATGGAAAGGAGGGGGCAGGGTTGGAGGACCAGTTGGTCCAATCAGAGCCCACGAGGGGCGGGGCTAGAAGACCGACGGTTCCTATATCCAGTCGGAGTCAAGTATGGGGCGTGGCTGAAAGACAGACTCGCCACCCATCCAATCGGAATCAATGAGGGGGCGGCGCCGGCTTTGTGATCCAACCAATTGAAGTGAATAATCCTGTTGTCCTTCCAAATGGCAGAGACTACAAACAAGTCTCCTGATTGCTTGGGCAAAGACAACCTGCTCAGGGCCCTACCATTAACTTTATAAGTCCTGCCCCAAAATGCAATACCTTACGTTTATCCAAATTCTTAGTGGAGATGGTCATTGCCTGGCATTTGTTTGGAACGAATATTACTCACCAATTATTAGCGCAAGCCAAGATATTGTCCGGATCTTGTTGCGTTTGTACGTGTTACTTTTAGCCAGTTTTTAAAATGACACTCAAGAAGCTTGACACCATTCGGTAAAAAGCAATCCACTTGCTTGGCACCACATCCACAAACATACACCATCGACGCTCAGTCGCAGCTGTTTGTACCATCTACAAGATGCACTGCCAAAATTCACCAAAGATCCTTAGACAGCACCTACCAAACTCACAACGATCTCCACCATCCAGGTGGGGATACCACCCCCTGCGACCTCCCCTCCAAGCCAGTCAGCATCTAGACTTGAAAATATATTGGCCATTCCTTCAGTGTCACTGGGTCAAAATCCAGGAACTCCCTAACCGCATTGGCAAGGTTTACCTATATCAAATATAACACAGTGGTTCAAGAAGGCAGTTCACCACCACATATTCTGGGGGCAAGTAGAGATGGCAAGGTCTTGGGGAGTGTGCTCCTCCAGGAGGATTTAAGGTCAGCATGCCAGTATATCAGAATAGATTCCCTAGAATAGCAGCAAACCTGTCACTTAGATACAAGACTGATGCAGGTATTTCAAATGCAGGCTATAAGCTTGTTAATGACAGTGTAAACAAACATTCATGAATTATCTAACTAGGACTGGCGGGGAGATTTGGTGGAGCTGCGCAGGAGGATTTAAACTAGTAAGAGGAAATTGGGGAGGGGTGGGGGGTTGGTGGTCCCAGGGAGACAGTGAGAAAAAAGATCAGTCCGAGACTGGTACAGTTGGGAAAAAGGCAAGCAGGAAGAAAGCAGAGAGCGAGGTAGAACTGACAAATTAAACTGTATTTCTTTCAATGCAAAAAGCATTGTAAGGCAAGTGAACTCTGAACGTGGTTGGGAACATGGGGCTGGGATATCATAGATTGCAGAGATGTAGCTTAGGGATGGACAGGACTGGCAGCTTAATGTTCCAGGGTATAGATGCTATAGGAAGCATAGAAACGGGGAGCAAGAAAGGCAGGGGGGAGTGTCATTTTTGATCAGGGATAACATTACAGCTATACTTCAGGAGGATATTCCTGGAATACATCCAGGGAAATTATTTGGGTGGAACTGAGAAATCCCTTATTAGGATTGTACTATAGATGTCGCACCCCCCCACTTGTCAGTGGGAAATTGAGAAACAAATTTGTAAGGAGATCTCAATTATCTGTAGGAATAATAGGGTGGTAATGGTAGAGGATTTTAACTTTCCAAACATAGACTGGGACTGCCATAGTGTTAAGGCCTTGGATGGACAGGAATTTGTTAAGTATGTACAAGAAAATTTTCTGATTCAGTATATGGAAGTACTGACTAGAGAAGGTGCAAAACTTGACCTTTTCTTGGAAAATAAGGCAGAGCAAGTGTCTGAGGTGTCAGTGTGGGAGCACTTTTGGGCCAGTGAACATCATTCTATTAGTTTTAAAATAGTGATGGAAAAGGATAGACCGGATGTAAAAGTTAAAGGTTCTAAATTGGATGAAGGTCAATTTTGATGGTATTAGGCAAAAACATTCAAAAGTTGAGTGGGGGGAGGATGTCCACAGGTAAAGGGCAGCTGGAAAATGGGAAGCCTTCAAAAATGAGATAACGAGAATCCAGAGACAGTATATTCCTGTCAGGGTGAAGGGTAAGGCTGGTAGGTGTGGGGAATGCTGAATGACTAGAGAAATTGAGGTTTTGGTTAAGAATAAGAAGGAAGCATATGTCAGGTATAGACAGCAGGGATTGAGTGATTCCCTAGAAGAGTATAAAGGCAGTAGGAGTATACTTTAGAGGGAAATCAGGAGGGCAAAAGCGGGAAAGAGATAAGTTTGGCAAATAGGGTTAAGGAGAATCCATAGGGATTCTGCAAATACATTAAGAACAAAAGGAAAGAATAAGGCCCCTTAGAGATTTAGCAAAGCCGCCTATGTGCGGAACCGCAGGAGATAAGGGAGATACTAAATGAGTACTTTGCAACAGTGTTTACTCTGGACAAGGATATGGAAGGTAGAGAACTTGGGAAAATACATACCAACATCTTGAAAAATGTCCATATTAGAGAACACATAGTACTGGATGTCTTAAAACGCATAAAGATGGATAAATCCCTGGGACCTAATCAGGTGTACCCTGGAACTCTGTGGGAAGCGAGGGAAGTGATTGTTGGGCCCCTTGCTGAGGTATTTGTATCATCGATAGCCACGGGTGAGATGTCAGAAGACTCGAGGTTGGTTAATGTAGTGTCGCTATTTTAAAAAGGCAACAAGGAAAAGCCAGGGAACTATAGACCAGTGAGCCTGACATCGGCAGTGGGCATGTTGTTGGAGGGGATCCTGAGGGACAGGATTTACATGTATTTGGAAAGGCAAGTACTGATTAGAGATAGTCAGCATGGCTTTGTGCGTGGGAAATCATGTCTCACGAACTTGATTGAGTTTTTTAAAAAAGTGTCAGGCATGACTCCAATCAACAGACAGTTTACCCCCCGACTGGGATGCGATCTAAATGGACTTCAGTAAGGCGTTTGACAAGGTTACTCATGGTAGACTGGCTAGCAAAGTTAGATCACATGGAATACAGGGCGAACTAGCCATTTGGATACAGAACTGGCTTGAAGGTAGAAGATAGAGGGTGGTAATGGTGGGTTGCTGTTCAGTCTGGAGACCTATGACCAGCGGTGTGCCACAAAGTTCAGTGCTGGGCCCACTGTTTTTTGTAATTTATATAAATGATTTAGGTATGAGCACAGGAGACACAGTTAGTAAGTTTGCAGACGACATCAAAATTGGAGGTGTAGTGGACAGCGAAGAGGGTTACCTCGGAATACAATGGGATCTTGATCAGATGGGCCAATGGGCCGAGGAGTGGCAGATGGAGTCTAATTTAGATAAACATGAGGTGCTGCATTTTGGAAAGGCAAATCAGGGCAAGATTTATACACTTAATGGTAAGGTGCTCGGGAGTGTTGCTGAACAAAGAGACCTTGGAGTGCAGGTTCATAGTTCCTTGAAAGTAGAGTCGCAGGTAAATAGGACAGTGATAAAGGTGTTTGGTACGCTTGCCTTTTTTGGTCTGTGCATTGAGTAAAGAAGTTGGGAGGTCATATTGCAGGACATTGGTTAGGCCGTTTTTGGAATCCTGCATTCAATTCTGGTCTCCCTGCTACAGGAAGGATGTTGTGAAACTTGAAAGATCTCAGGAAATATTTACAAGGATGTTGCCAGGGTTGGATGGTTTGAACTCGAGGGAGAAGCTGAATAGGGTGGGGCTATTTTCCCTGGAGCATCAGAGGCTGAGAGGTTTGTAAAATCATGAGGGGAATGGATAGAGTGAATAGACAAGGTCTTTTCCCCAGGGCGAGGGAGTCCAAAATTAGAGGGCATAGGTTTAAGGTGAGAGGGGAAATATTTAAAAGGGACCTAAGGGGCAATGTTTTCACACAGAGGGTGGTGCGTGTATGAAATGAGCTGCCAGAGGATGTGGATGCTGGTACAATTACAACATTTAAAAGGCATCTGGATGGGTATATGAGTAGGAAGGGTTTCAAATGATATGGGCCAAATTCTGGCAAATGGTACGAGATTTATTTAGGATATCTGGTCGACAAGGATGAGTTGCACTCAAGGGTCTGTTTCCATGCTGTACATCTCTATGACATTATGATTCTATTTAACAGCCTTGGTTCAAACATGGACAAAAGAGCTCAATTCCAGAGGTGAAGTGAGAGCGGCAGCCCTTGATATCATGACTAAATTTGACTGAATGTGGCACGGAGAAGCCCGAGCAAAACTGGAATCAATGGTTATCGGGGGATAAACTGTCTGTTGATTGGAGTCATGCCTGGCACATAGGAAAATGGTTGTGGTTGTTGGAGGCCAGTCATCTCAGCTTTAGGACATCTCTGCAGGAATTCCCCAGTGTAGTGCTCTAGTCCCAGTCATCTTCAGCTGCTTCATCAGTGACCCTTTCTCCATCATAAGGTCAGAATATTCGGTGATGATCACCATTCACCAGATACTGAAGCAGTCCGTGTTCAAATGCAACAGATCTGCACAATATCCAGGCTTGGGCTGACAATTGGCAAGTAACGTTCATTCCACGCCAATGCCAGGCAATGACCATCTACAATAAGATTTTGGATAAATGTGAGGTATTGCATCTTGGTCAAACAAATAAAGGCAGGACTTGTACAGTTAAAACTGGGGCCCTGGGTATTGTTGTCAGAGTAACCTAGTGGTTCAAATAGTTGAAAGGTCTTTGAAAGTTGCTTCACAGGTAGACAGGATGGTTAAGAAGGCATTTAGCACACATGCCTTCATTGCTCAGACCATTGAGTATAGGAGTTGGGATGTCATATTGAGGTTGTATAGGACATTGGCGAGGCCTCTTTTTGGCAGTACTGTGAACAGTTCTGGTCGCCCTACTCTAGGAAGGATATTATTAAACTGGAGAGGGTTCAGGAAAAATTTACCAGGATATTGCCGGGAATGGAGTGTTTGAGTTATAAGGATGGGCTGGGACTTTTTTCACTGGAGTGTAGGAGGTTGAGGAGGTTTATGGAGGTTTATAAAATCATGAGGGGCACAGAT